ACTGCGACGCATCAAATCAGGGCTTAGGTTGCGTTCTCATGCAACGTGGGAGAGTGATAGACTACGCATCCCGCCAACTAAAGACGCATGAAGTAAACTATACAACCTATGACCTAGATTTGGGAGCTGTAGTCTTTGCCCTAAAGATTTGGAGGCATTACCTTTACGGTACGAAGTGCACTGTCTTCACGGATCACAAGATTCTCCAACACATCTTGAACCAAAAGGAGCTGAACATGAGGCAAGGAAGATGGGTTGAATTGCTAAACAATTATGAGTGTGAGATTAAGTACCACCCAGGCAAGGCCAACGTGGTAGCTGACGCATTAAGTCGGAAGGAGTACTCTAATCGTCGTACGAAAACTCTCTCCATAACCATTCAATCTCACCTGGCCACTAAAATTGTAGTAGTCCAGTCAGAGGCCATGAAGACGGAAAATAGAGCAAGCGAAGTATTGCGCGGAATGGAAAAGAACCTGGAGGCAAAGGAGAATGGAGTATACTATTTCATGAACCGTATCTGAGTCCCTAAACTTGGAGGGTTTAGAGATGTTGTTATGAAGGAAGCCCACAAGACGCGATACTCCATTCATCCCGGTTCAGACAAGATGTACTTGGATATTAAACAACACTATTGGTCGCCTAACATGAAGGCGGAAATTGCGACCTACGTTAGTAAGTGCCTTACGTGCGCCAAGGTAAAGGTGGAGTACCAGAAACCCTCAGGATTGTTACAGCAACCGACAATCTCGGAGTGGAAATGGGAGGGGATTTCTATGGATTTCGTGACCAAGCTACCCAAAACGTCGGATGGATTAGACACCATATGGGTAATAATTGACCGACTGACGAAATCTGCCCATTTCCTGCCAATTAAAGAATCTTACAAGACGGAGAGATTGACGCGTTTATACATTCGAGAAATCGTGAGACTCCACGGAATACCAGTATCTATCATCTCGGATAGGGACAGTAGGTTCACGTCACGATTTTGGCAATCACTCCATAAAGCGATGGGAACAAACCTCGACATGAGCACCGCTTGTCATCCACAAACGGATGGTGAAAGCGAGCGAACCATCCAAACGCTCGAAGACATGCTCCGCACATGCATGATAGACTTTGGGAAGTCTTAGGATACCCACCTACCCTTAATCGAGCTCTCATATAACAATAGTTATCATTCTAACATCAAGGTGGCTCCTTTTGAAGCACTGTACTAGCGTAAATGTAGATCACCGTTATGTTGGGCTGAAGTACGTGACACTCAGCTAGCAAAAACACGTACGTCGGACAAAGCACTAACGGGACCGGAGATCATTCGCGAAACCACAGTAAAGATCGTTCAAATCAAAGCTCGATTGCAAGCATCGCGTGACCGACAAAAGAGCTATGCCGATAAGCGGCAAAAGCCCTTAGAATTTCAGGTCAGTGATCGAGTGCTGTTAAAAGTCTCGCCCTGGAAAGGAGTTATTCGTTTTGGGAAGTGGGCAAAACTAAACCCACGGTACATTAGACCTTTCGAAATCGTCGCCCGAATAGGTCCGGTAGCATACAGACTGCAACTACCCGCAGAGTTAAACGGTGTACACCCCGTGTTTCATGTCTCTAATCTGAAGAAGTGTCTATCAGATGAAACACTCGTCATTCCCCTTGACGAAATCGAAATCAACGAGAATCTCCTATTCGTTGAAGAACCAATTGAAATCATTGACAGGGAGGTGAAGCGTACTAAGCAAAGTCGCATCCCGATCGTGAAAGTACGGTGGAACGCAAAGCGTGGGCCAGAATTCACGTGGGAACACGAAGACCAAATCTAGCTTTCAAACAAAATTTCGGGACGAAATTCCCTCTAACGGGGGGATGATGTCACAACTAGAAATTTTGTGTCTTGTAATCACTAAACTCAAGTAAAGATTGAATCAAAAACTTAAGAGCATGTGTGATACCTATTATTATGACATCAAAAACTTCAATCAAATACATCGTACAAGTACTACAAATGGTCATCAAGAAATTGGAAACCCTAGAAGTTCTCGTTTAAGTCCATTTTGGACTAGGACTTCCTTATTGGACCCAAATGGACCAATAAGCTTCCAATTTGACTATCATGGGCTTAGAACCCTTATATGGGCTCTAATTGAACCCACATTAATTTATTTCAACATTATGGGCCATATTAGGCCTTGAATGAAATGAATTAGAAGCTTTGATCCATGAATAACTGAAACTAGCCCAACCAAATGTGAAAATCATATTATATTTTTTTTAGGTTAAAACTCATCTAACTTAACTTTTACATGGGCTTGAGGGCATTGAAGCCCAAATTTTCTTTTTCCTTTCACATTCTCGGCCCAAGGCCCAAGTCCAAGAAGAAATGGAGAAGTTTTGACTATTTGCATGCCACCTCACTTGTATCCAACATGTTTCCATGCACCTCTCATACTTCTAGGAGCATATCACTTCAAAGATCACTTCTTCATTCCCTCTCACTCACTCTCGGCCGAAACACACACACATATACAAATATCTCACAAATTCTCTCTAGAATACTCAAGAACACATCCTTCCTCTCCACTCAAAAATCTCGAAAATTAGGAGGCTTTCAAGATGATATTTCCACAAACTCTTCATCTAAGGTAAGGTTATGCTTGGATCTATGACTTAGATTCTTTGTTTTATCAAAATCTCTTCCTAATCCATGCAAAAATCGTGATCTTTCATCCTAGAAAACTCCATAAACTCGAAAACTTCATCAAGGGGTGCTAGGGTCAAAAATCACCAAGCTTTCTTCCATCCTTTCTTCAAAAACCGAATAAACATCCAAAGGTGAGCTTCATACCCCCTTATTTTCGGTTTTTATAAGTTTTTGTGGGGGAGAATACAAGCAAAGGTGTAGATCTATCATTATGTGTATGCCTTGTATGATTTCTATGCTTATATGCGTGTTTTGTGTGATTATGATGTTGGATCTAATCATGAATCACTAAAAATCTAGATATACTTTATATTAAATGATGCTAGTATAAAATATACTACTACATACAAAGTATACCAAGAAAAATAGCTAAGTGGCTTAACAACACATACTTTGGGCTAAAAACTCATTTTTTAGACATAAAATGTCAAAAATACAAAGTTGAAGGGCCCAAAATGAAATATTTCGAAATCTGATGGGTGAGATGAGTCAAAACAGTTTCCATAATGTATTTTCTGAAAATATACTCTTTTGGAGGATTAAAAACATAAATTTCAAGCTTAATGGGCTAAAAATAACATTTTCGGCCCAATAGGGCCCAATATGCGAAATTTCCCAAACTTGAGGGGTTGAACCTTGTTTTTCTATAAAACACTGGGTTATTAGTGTTCTAAGTACTTTTCAAAGGTCAAAAATGCTTTTCATAGTTAAAAAAGACCAAAAGTGTAAAAATTGCGATATGAAGGGCTACAACCGAGAAAATTGTATTTTCAGGGCCTAAAACTGTTTTCAACTAAAAAGGAGCTGAAAAATGTCAATTTCGATAAGTTTTGATGTTAAAATGCCAAGAAAAATGATTTAAGGACTAAACCGGAAATTAATTTACTTAAAGGGGTGAAAAAGTAAATTTACAAAATAAAGAGGGGTTCTAAACAGAAAACACTCAATGACAATTGAATACACTCATTGTGGACCAGACTAACACTACGACTCTCGATGAATTACAATTCACAACAACACCAAAAATCGTTAACAAACGAATTGATTCGGTCTCGAATCAATAACAAATTCCAAAACTACTAACACTACAACGCTTAATACACATATGGAACTCTCGGAACTCTATACTCTCGTGGAATTACTCAATACGTCGACGTACATTTCTTAGGCTCAAAAGTTGCAAATCATGCTTGTTGAGCCTAGCTAGCCCGATGACATGATCTTTAGGCCCAAAGGATACTTGCTTACATGTAGTTGGGTCTAATACGACTTAACCGCGTGTAAAAGGACTTTCAATGGCAAACGTGCTGCTGGTCCCCAAGGGTCCTTCGGTGCTGCTAGTAAAGTCGGGAACTCACGATTGCGGGTTGGGCTTCGGGCCCTTCGCAATTGCAATGGTCTTTAACGACGTAGGGAAATACCGAGGGTTTCGCACCTTCTCTTTTTCTCTTCGGTCGTGGGACTACACAAGTCCGGGAGGATTGAGTTGTGTGAATAAGTGCGAGTGACGCCTAAGGGATCGCTAGTACGGTTGTCAACTAGACGTTTTCATTAACGTACGTTACAACAATTCACCACCCACTGTATACCCAATGCCTCCGGAGCTCAACGAATACCTCTAACGTAACGAAACAACCACACATAAACTAATTAAAGCAAAGTGATAGGAAAACGTCGGGTTTTCCTAGGGTTTTCAACTAGTACACTTACGAACTACATGCTGAATTTTACAACTCGTACGCTTACATCTATAGAAAACAAACAAGCATACTCACAGATCTTCACGTATTTTTTGACGCTATACTATTTTCAGAAAATATCGGATTTTCTGGTGGTTTTCAAAACAATACAAACATGGGATTTTAAACATTACTTATGAACTCACCAACATTTCATATGTTGACGTTTTTCCAAAATACTTGTATTCTCAGGTAACAGATAAAGTGAAGAAAGGATTGTACTCTATGATGTTTTGCAGTTGTTTAAGTAACAATGAACAATTTATTTTTGGGCATGTAATATTTTGATACAATGTAATGGATGTAAACACTATCAGTTGTAATATTCAAATGTTGGTGACGAATGATGTTATGCTTCATTTATATTCATTGTGATGGTATTCAATGGAGTGACAACAGCCCCCGGACATTTCCACCGTCTGGTTCGGGGGTGTGACACCTATTCAGTCATGTTAAGTCATAAAGTCAGGAGCTTTATGGCTTAAGAAGTCCCTTTGAAAAAGATCTGGAAGTTTGGACTGATTTCTTAAGGTATTAAGAAGTTTTTAAGACATTTTGGAGCTTTATGGCTTAAGAAGTCCCTTCCAAGGCACTTGCCAATCACCCCTGTAAAATACTTCCACCCAGCATAATAGCATTTACAAAGGGTATATTTATTTGGATCACGAGTAGTACCCTGAGGAGAGACATTATACCTTAATATGGGTCGAAGAGACCTGCATTTTTCCTTATCAGGAGGTTTAGAGTAGTTGTCTGATAACAAAAAAAAACATAGTGCAAGTCAAAAGGGGGTTTTATTGATAACAACCCTAAAATTACTGTCTCTATTAGTTACAATGAGTTTTTGATCATTGGCATTAACAGTGAAAGAATAATAAAACTCACATACTTTCTTAAGGTAGAATGGCTCCGAATAATCACGAAATGCATAGTAAAGAGGACAACTTTTGATGTAGTTGACAAGATCTTCAATCCTTGAGTTCTTGTATTGATTTGGCATGATATATGAGAAGACGACAATGTTTTCTTGGACAACGATGTGAGTGTGATGAGCATGGGGGCCGTTGACTACATTGGTATAAGGAACTAAGATGTATAGAACCTTTGACATGATGAAATCTTGAAGAACTTGGGACAAAACGGATGATGATTGAGAGACACTTTGAGAGAGAACTTCAATTGCATGGATGAGTTATAAAGTTACCTAGGAGAGAAAACTCTCCTATTTTATCCGCATAATTCTACCTTCTTATGTAATCATAATTAGAGAAAAAGGCTTAGTAAAAATCTCGTATTTCAAGATGATGTTACAAATCTTGATAGTCATCCAAAAGTTATCATTGAGATCAAAGAATTATGTATCAAGGAGACACAACATTAGCTGCATGAAATATTAGTAGAAATGTCAGCATATCAGAGTTGTATTATCAGTGGATCAACATTGTACTTGTTAAACTATTGAGATTGTGATGTCTGCTAATAGAATATGTTTTTACTTTCATTCACTAACATTGTATTGCGAAGTCTCATTAGCATATGGTTTGATATTTTGAATCACGGACTTCTTTTATTAGAAGAAAAGGAATATGAATGGTCTGATGTGTGTAATACATTTTGGTGTTTAAAGGCAGCCGTTGGCAAAGAATGTTGAGGTTTTATTACTGTATAGTAGATACAGTAAATCGTCGACTTTTTTAATAGAAGAATATTTGGGAGAGAATGGGTAGGTGTGTGTAATATATCATGGTACGTAATATACCCATCGGCACATAGTTTTTAAATTCTCATCTGCATCTGGTTTCATACACCGAATCATAAAACTCAGAAGAAGAATAGATGGCGAGAATGGATCGATATGTGTGTAAGCTACGGTACATACTCTAACCATAGACATAGATTTTTAAGCTATCATCAGTTTATGGTATGTTATGCTAAATCATAACGCTTTTAACAAGAAATGTAAGGTGAGGATGAGTTGGTGTGTGTGATAGTCTACGGTATGTTGACTTACCATCGGCCTAGAGTTTAAAACTTTCATGAGTGTATGGTATATCACAGTGAATCGATAAGTTCTTAGAAAAGGAAATTAAAGGAGAGAATGGGATGTTTCAATCACGCTGAGGTGAAATCAGTAGGAATCATAAACAATGTAAACTTATCAACGAGAGGTGGTTTATCTTCTGTATCATGAAGTTAAATTGCAGTCTAGTATTTAAAATTCTCTATCAGTTCTTTTAATATGGTACAATATAGTAAAATAATAATAAATGGAAAGAATAAAATAATAAGAGAATAAAAGAAAACAATTAGGCGAAAAATGAAGTTTTCGAAAAGCGAAGATTGTGCAGCTCTTATAGAAAGGTGATAAAGATACAATCTAAAAAATCTTTTGAATTGAAAGTGATGGGTTTTGAGCATTCTAACACTTCCTAAGTGTACATGCAACCCTAATAACCTTGGATCTATGTCTGTCTAATTATCATGCAAAGTTGAATTCCAAGGTTATATTCCTATCTAGCATACATGGGGAACATTTTTAACTTGAATGAAAGATAGAATAACTTACCTTGTTGTTGATGATGATCCTTGAAACCTTGTGAGCCTAGCACCCGAAGTATGATGCCTCAAATGCTTCACACAACACCAAATGCAAAGGAGTAAACTTTTGAGAGAATACACACACTTGAAAAATCGGCCTAGCCCTCACTTGTTCTTGTGTAGCCGATTTTGGTGGAGAATGAGTTCTTATATAGTGTTGACACATCTAGGGTTACACCATGTAAACCCTAATGTGTCATGGCTCTTCATTACCATGACCCATGGGTTTGTAACTCCCATGGAGCATCCTATGGGTTTAACCCAACTTGATAATCCATGGAGCCTCTTAGCCCACTATACAAGATATGGATGATTTACATAATCAACTCATATATTTAATTAGTTATCTTTTGATCACTTAATTAATTTTGAATTAATTCTTGATCAAACTAATTAAATAATACTATATAATATATTAGAACTTATAATATATTAATAAACCACAAGTGTTATTTCTCTCATTTAGTCTATCCAATTGCATGGTGCCATGTAACTTTGTTATAACTTTTCAACCCCTGCAACTTCACGAATTTGAAACTTTGTTTTCTATAATTAATATTGCTAACTTGCAACACTAAACGTAATAATCATGCTCCCACAGCATAACACTTATGCTCCCACTAGCTCTGACATATTTCCAGAAATCTGTTGGACTTCTGAAATTTAGATTCATACACCCTTTCTTAGATAGCTCACATGTGTGTCTAAACAATTTCCAGAACTATGAAAAGGGATGTCGTAGTCATAGTCTCAATTGCTTAGGCATTTGCCATTTCTCACAAGTCCATGTTAGCGTCCCGGTTAACCACACGCGCTCCACTAACGACTTTTGAAAATGCAAATAACACAATTGCTATCTACTTAAAATCTACTTAGTGAAAGCGTTTCCTCACCATCATTTTCATGAATCGGAGGGAAACCTTATGACACTTAGATTTTATAGTGTATGAGTTCCTATCCATGTGAATTTGTCAAAACCATAATCATAAGATAAGGTTAGTGACAAATTCAGCCTTACATGGATTAAAGTTGTTCAATCTTAGTTTCTTATCACCTTGGTAGCATAAGGCCCACCAATGCTTCCAAGTTGAACTCTGATAACTCACATGCAAATTCAACTTATTTGAAGTAGGTACAGAAATAAGAATTATGTCAACACGATAGGTTGCAAACCTTAAGTCGTGTGCTAGTGATAAATTATAGGTTTTACTCTTGATTAAATCTTGAAAATCTTTCAGGATCTTTAAGGCTCCCACTGTCCCCTTGACATATAAATTTCCCCAGTCAAGAACCATTCCTTGACAAAACAAATATTCAAGGTATAGTGAGGATTCTTATCGAGACTAACACTTCACACAATTGGTCTTAGTTGGTCTTTGTCTCATCCAAGACATCACAACTAACTAATCTCAAATGTACAATAGTAGAATAAATCTTCCTTTATGTCACTCAAGGTTACAATCTTGGAGTATGACTCTAAGAATTGTTTTGGAACGAAGTATGACTCCTCTTCTTGATTTTAACCAATCCAACAATTCATGACCTCTCTTCTTAGCCATAACAATGCACTAATATGTCCTTAGAGTATGAATTTGTGATATGGTTTCATAATCATTAAGATGATCATGAAATATGATATTAAAGTACTCTCCCATGCTTTCAGATTTGAGAAACTTTATCTTTCTGCCTAATTTGATTCTTCTCATTTGTTTTGTCATACATTGTAACCTTTACAATGTTACAAAATTATACTTAACCTCATAAGTATAATCATATTTACTAATCTTTAGTAAATCATGACAAATCAATCTTTATGGTGGATCTTGACTAGCGCACACCCAGTGTACCTAATTCCTTAGTCCTTCAATTGACTCACATATACATGTGATCAAAGAATTAGTCTTAATTTTCAAAGATGAAGATTCTCATTCATCATACAATACAACTTGTACGATTCCAAGTTTCTGTCCAATTGAAACTTGGGTGATGAAAAACTTTCTTCATTTGGTAAATTCAGACACTACCACAAATGAAAGAATCAAATCCACTTTCCAATATTGCTATTACTGGAAACATATAAGCAACAATTTTTCACAGATGCCATTGTAAGGATATTTTTAAAATAAATAAAATTAAAACCCTTTTTTTTCTTTTTATTTTTAAAACTTTGCGGAAAAACTTATCCTCACAATCCACATTAAAACCTTGTTGTTATCTATTCATAAGCAATATATTATAACTCTTAAGCAACAACTCAAAATTCTGATTATCGAACCATGCGATCGAAACCCATCTTCGCAATCAGAATCAGCATATACTTCTTTAAGCTTCCTATCTTCGCTTTGATTCTTAAAACATCAACATGTGACCCATTCACATTATGTAATAAGAATCTCCAAATAGGAACTTAATAGAATTAGTTAGTGGACTTTAACTGAAGTAGAGTCAAACTTTTTGACTTGATCAATCTTATGATCTTTCAGGTAAATAGGGTAGCTTCGCAACCAATGCCCCTTCCTTTGGCAACAAAACACATGGACCCTTTGGCACATGAGACTATTTCAGACTTAGCCTTTCTCTTTACCATTTGGTCAACCGAGTTGACTATGGCCGATCCCTTTCCATTGGGAAGAGAAATATTTTTCTAGATATCCAATGCTACCATTGTCAATGTCCATTTAAGACTTGGGAAGTTGTTCTTTTAATCAAATTTGCTTTACTAGTGTTCCAAATCATTGCTAATTCCACAACACCAAGCAAATAGATAACATCATTAAGGTTCATGTCATAGTCTGTCACATAGTAGTCCCAAAGAGACTCACTATGTTACTAAGAAAGTGATTGAACATCCAACTTTCACGAGATTTTGACACCCAACTCTCCCGGCTTGTCAATATGTGACTTTATCTCCAAGATGTGAGCACACATAGACTATGCTTGCCAATAGGGATTGAGTGACTTTAAACTTTTCAAGAACTTGTGGGTGAGGGATAATAATTGGAGGAGGTGAAGGAAGTGAAGCATGATGTTGAGTGACACCATCTTCAAGAGATTTGGGAAGATCATAGTTGTCTGAACCAGACATCTATTATGGGAGAAAATCAAGTTAGTTGATTCAAAATCCTTAATATAACACCCAATATGAAATATTAAGGCTAGGACCCAACACAATATTTTATAACTTGGAAGAGGGATGCCGTAATCCAAGCTATAAAATATTTGAAGGTAGGTGAATGACGATTCACCAATTTCCACCATGAAAAATGAAATAATTTATTAGGTTTTAATTGGATTTGAAATTCCTAGATCTTTTGAGATTCATTGAACTTTTCAATGGCATGTTTCAATCTCAAGTGTGCCCTCTCAAATTTTGTGACTGGGATGCCAAGGATCACAAAACAAGGTGTGAATAACCATACCAATTCACATGGTACCCTTAATATTATCACCTAATCAATGTGCCGGTTACCCACACACGCTCCATTGATCTATGACAAACATTAAGTCACCCTT